TTTGAAAAAAATGGTGGAGAATGGTCCTTTGAATACAGAGGTTGTTCGGGTGAAAAGTGAGTACAAGGAGAGCTTTATCATGTTTCTGTGAGGGAAACGAAGGGGTGATGACCGAAGTGTGGATAAAGTATTGGATCCAGTGGTGATGTGGGCATGTGGTGGATTCCTCGATTTAAAGAAAAAGGAAAACATGGCATAAGCATTGTTGTGGAAGGTAGCATAATTAGAACAGATGCTAGAGAGGAACTGAGAGAGTGGAATGGAGTCCTTACAGGAAACAGGATATGAGAAAGTGTAGTTGAGGTGACAGTGGGAATTAGTGGTCTTGTAATCAATGTTTGTAGACAATGTGCTTCTGGAAATGGAGACTGACGAGTCAAAAAAAGGAGAGATTCAGAGATCCAGCTGAGAGACGGGTGGATGTTGGAAGCAAAATTAGTTATTTGCAGTTCCAGACTGGGAAGCAGCGCCAGTACAATCACTTTACTAGAAAGAGTTGTGGGAGGGGCCCCTGTGTGGGATTAGAACATGCAATGTTCCACATACCCACAAAAAATACACCTAATTAGGGTCTGTGTGAGTACACAAACTTACACACTTTTTTTTAGTAGAAGTGAGATATGTTAAAGGAGAAACTGTTCAATAAGAGAACTAGCTCAGTCTAGTTCAGTAGATTAGAAATGTGGTGAATAGGAGCTGTTTGAGCTTCCAGTCATGGAAGAAGCCAAGACCCTTAGTTTGAGATAGTAAGAGCTGCCAATGCTGGAGTCAGAGATAACACAGTGTGGAGCTGGAGGAGCACAGCAGGCCAGGCAGCATCAGAGGAGCAGGAAAGTTGACGTTTTGGATTGGGACCCTTATTCAGAAGGGACCCTTAGTTTGCCCTGGTGGGGGTGAAGGTGTAAAGGAATCGGTTGTCTGTCAGAAAAAAGATGTAGTCAGGACGAGGAAACTAGAAATTGTTAAAATGGTGTTGGCTCTGAAGAGTTTCAAATATAAGTTGGAAAAGACTGGACTAGGGAGAAAATAATAGTCAAGAGAGGAAGAAATAAATTCAGTGGGATGGGAACAGGTTGAAACAATGGATCTGCTCAACAGCTCGGTTTGAAGATTTGGTAAGAAGGTCAAAGTAGTAAGCTATTTTGATTTGGTGATCTATAGGGTGAAAAACTGTGGAGAAAAGATTTCTAAGGGAGTTGAAATCTGTGAAAGTGCTGAAAATAGTAGCTTGATGTTCAGCAATAGGGTCATGGATGGAGGTGTGGGAGGGGTTTGAGTGCAGAGAACAGTCTGAGAATTGGCAGTCTACCTCTGCAAGGTAGGGGTTGGTGCATCCTACGACGACAACAGCATCACCCTTGTCAGTCGATCTGAAATCAAAGTCAGGATAGACCTCAAAGCAACACAAGTAACTTGAGTAAGAGAAGCAGAGAAGTGAAGTCAACCAATGAAATGCCAACAGTTCTGCAAGTAGAATATTGCAGTGTGATCCTATTATACTTTGCCTTTATAACTTTTTTGATACAAAAATGTACGGATTACCTAAAGGCCAAAGAATTGGTTCTGCAATGCTGTTTGCATTCAATATCTTAAGTACTTTTTAACAATACATTAAAATAGCTGTGTTTTTATATATTTTTGTACTTGAGTGAAAGTTGATTGGGCAAGACATCTGTTCCCATTACAAACAGATTTGTGTATGAAATCTATGGTGGCCTTTTTCCATTTGACTTTTTTATTGGGGTGGGAGGTATGTTGCGGGGAATTACTACTCAGTTTTTCCAAAATAAAAGTGTTGTTGTATACTAGCTTTTATTGCTTTATAATGGTGATGGAAGTAATTTATTGGTGTCTTCTTTTTAACACACTATTCCAGTTAGTCAAGTGCTTTGTTATAATGGATAGCTTAATGTGTGCTCTTGATTGAGATTATCATTTTTGTGCATGTTCTTGGTCTTTACAGATTTGGAATTTGCTTCCTTGGATGTTTTTACAGTTAAATTTTGCTTCTCAGTGCTGAATGTGTCCCAAACCAAGTTTACATTCCACTTGGTATCATTCTGAAAATTTAACTGCAGAAATAGAGAGGAAGCTATTAAAATATAATTTTAGCACTAATGTCAAGAAATTCTTCAGTTGGAACAAACTTCCAAATAGAGAAACAGTTGGATGCTACAATACAGTGACATTGAGATCCACTTCAGTGCTTCCCAAACTTGTTCCCACTGTAACCCTATTTCAGAGCTTGAAAACTGTCACAACCCTGAGAACAGTGTTTAGGGTTAGAACAGCTGTGAGAGCAGGTGCCTATTAAAATGGGAATGCAGTTATAACTCTTCAACAGTGACCATCTCTACCTTGGAGCTTGTGACCCACTTGAGGTCCTGATCCCATCTTTGGGAAGACCTTATCTACTGTTCGGAATAAGTTGAATTGTCTCATCTGTGATCATTCAATAATGGGAACTGTCAGTATAGCAGAAGGATTCACTATTTTTCTGTCAAGCAAACTAAATGCATAAAACTGTTGGCCAATGCCACCATCAGGTAGTCTAGCCAAGTTGCTTGACACAAAAGGTTCTTACCTCTGGGTCAGCATTCTCAAGGTGCAAGCCATTTGTCTTTGTAACCAGTAACCAAAAGAACTTAATGAATTTTATAAAAAAATTCTCAAATGCCTTTAATATATAATTAAAACCTTTGTAAATTTTGATTGCATGGTGCTTGTGGACAAGAATGGATTTGTGAATGCATGCTATTTCAAACAGTTTATATCTTTCCAAGCCAAACGTTTGTGAAACAACTATTTGGTGGTACTGTAACCCTTAACTCCTCTGAAATGCAAGTTCATGCAACCTGGCTTGTTGATTGGTAGCTAGTTCCAACTCCAGCATTTCCTGCAAACAGTACATTTCTCATCTTGAGTAATTAGACATCATGAAAGAAAATTAACTTTTCAGTGTCACTTCACATAGCTGTGCCCAAGAGCTGGTAGGAGTTCTTGCTCAGATAATGTGTCTGCTCCATTAAGAGTGGTTTGTCCATCCTCCACATAACCCAAGAGAAGATTTTTAAAATCTTGAATTTATAAAGAAAATTAGCTACCTGCCATATGAAAGTTGAGTGAACCTATTTCATCTTTTGAGTCATTTACCTTGTGCAACAATATATTCCATTGTACTGTTTGTTTCCCTCTAAATGTTGTGTTACTGCATGAAATTTTATTTGGTAATTTTCTCCTTTTTTTTTAAACCATTGCCTGTTTGCAGGCTTGCAATCACTTGGGCACTGGATGCCCTCTAATACCTTTCAAAGGTTAACTGTTGATTGATCTGTGCCAGCTACTTGGTTCCAAGAGTCTTTTCTCCCATTCCTGACTTTGTCCTCTATACTTTCCTCACGTCTTTTATTTCACCTAATGTTATTAAGGATATATTTTCAATAGACAGCACTGGACAACAGTTGAGAGACATTGATTATTTCAAATTCCTAGCCTTAGGTCACTGAGGCCAACTTTAGTATCCCCATCATTATACCAGTTGAGATGAACTTGAGGTAGATTGTTGATCAAGGTTGAGTCTTCATTGTTTATTTCTGAGCTTCAAAAACAAAAATTCAATGCTTAAAGTATTGAAGTTCTGTCACAAAGTTTCTATAACACAGAATTTCTGATTAATATGGCAGTGTACGTACCGAAGTGCTGCGAGTGTTCCTAATGGTTTTAGGTTTTCATTGACTGAAAACATGTGTTCAGTGGTAATTTCTTCTGAAGTGGGAGTAGTGTAAGCTGATTGAACTTTGATGATTCTTATCAAGAATCCTGTTTTTATGCAGGAACTTGAATATATTTAAATCTGCAGATAATTGTAAACTTTAGTCATGGCCAAAGCTGTTCAAATCTATGCTTTTGTAATTCAAATTGTGACATTTTGTTATTTGGAGAAACTGTATCAGTACAGTTAGCAACAATAATTTGCATGTTTTGTGACCTTTTTGAGGAAGACCACTTAATCAAGTTCCAGAGAGAAGAATTGGCAGTTGTCCACCATTGTTGTTTGATTTGTCAGATTCTGTGCATTGTATATGTTGAACATCTTGTAAAGTAAATTTGACAATTGTCTACGGTATAGTTATCATATCATGTGATATAGTTATCTTGTATATGATTTTAACATACAATCTTGAATAATTTAGACATACCTCGCTTTGAGTCCAAAATAAAGTAAGATTTACTTTGAGTTTAATTCTGATTCCTTGCAACCATGTGGGTACAATACATCTAACTTACATTGTCTTGCGTAAAAGCCAAAAGGATGACTATTGGGAGAAAAGAGAGAAAATAACTGAAAAAGGTGAAAACCGAAAGAACTGCGGATGCTGTAAATCAGGAACAAAAACAAAGTTGCTGGAAAAGCTCAACAGGTCTGGCAGCTTCTGTGAAGGAAAAATAGAGTTAACATTTCGGGTTCTGTGACCCTTCCTCAGAACTCGATGAAAAAGGTGGAACACTGGTTGACCTCTGATTTATGTGGTTTGGGTGGGGTAATGTTTTCATAGTAGAAATGCAATACAGTAATTCAATTGGGAATTCCTGAAATGTTCTCCCAATACTGACAACTTTTGTATCACAAGCAAGATGTCGGCACATCCCCCCCAGTCACTTCATCTGGAGGATGCCATCTTGTCACTAAATTTTCTTCTGACTATTCGTTATTTTAGTTTTGGGTCCATTTGTGATTGTGTTTATCATAGAATGGTGTTTTATTCATGCAATAATGGTGTGCTTTTGCGCCCAGCTTCATAAAATATAGATATGGTTTTGTAGATGAACATCAAACTGTTGTAGGATATTATTCTTTAAAGAAAGTGCAGCTTCTACATCATTACTCTTTTTTACATACATTCTAGCTTTTAAGGGTCCATCAAAAAGTTTGTTGATTCTGGAAAAACTATATTTTGATATTTGGAATAGTTGATTCTATTTGGATTTTTTAAATATAGGTATGATGTGAATATGCGGTGCCTGGCAAGTCGAGTTAACTACAAGACTCTTATTATCATCTGCACTCTGTTTACACTGGTCACTGTACTTTTGTGGAACAAATGCTCCAGTGATAAGGCAATCCAGTTTCCAAGAGACTTGGGTCATCTGGAGGATCTGTTCAGAGGAGAAGGTTTGGAAAAACAGGGAATTGACTCCGAAGATAATAATGATGTGAGTAACCTTTTACAGGTGGGAAAGTCTCTCCCAAAACAACCATCAGCAGATGCATTCCATCAAGAACAGCAGAAAGCTCCGCCCGTAGCCAGTCTTCTAAATAACAAACTGTTGGGACTTAAATATGAGGAGATAGATTGCTTAATAAATGATGACTACACTATAAAAGGACGGAAAGAAGGCAATGAAATTTATCTGCCGTTCACCTGGATTGAAAAATACTTTGAAGTCTATGGAAAAATTGCTCAGTATGATGGCTATGACAGATTTGAGTTTTCTCATAGCTATTCAAAAGTATATACTCCACGGGGTACTTATCGACCAGATGGGGTATTCATGTCCTTTGAAGGCTACAACGTGGAAGTCCGAGACCGTGTGAAATGCATCAGTGGCATTGAAGGTTGGTCTTGCTATACTAAAATTCTCTCTAACTAACTAACTTCTCTTCCTTCTCCACCCTGGATGAGTATTCTGCTCCCTGTTTTGGTTACTATATTATATCCTTTTAGTATATATTTTTTAAAAAGATCATTTCTCTGTATAATCTAGTTTGTATGACAACTTGATTTGTCTGCTGATTTTTTTACTTAAATCTCTTACAAATTATAGTCTAGTCACTGCTGGAGCAGATGGCAGATGGGAGAGAAAAATCCCTGCGTTATTTTGTTAAAACGTTGAATTTTTTCTTGCACTCAGCAACTTTAATTTTGAGATGTTTTGTACTATTTTATTTAATTGTCTTTTCAGAATTATAGAACTTTGCATGTTCTGCCAGTCGATATCAACTCCAAATGTTTATATCATTTTGAATATTATCAAGTACACAGTTGCTGCACTTGAATGTAGCTTCAAAGGCTTATTTATGTGGCTACTTTTGTTAATAAATTATAAATATGGCTATAATATAGTTTTTAACAATACATAATTTGTGTGATCAGAAAAATGGTTTTGCATTTATAATAAAGGATGTGTGGAATGTATTGAAGTATCATATCGGGTTTGGACCTGAAAAAGAAAGGACTTGCAAATGATTTTGCATCTGATTTAAGTAATTTTAAAGTATTGCAGGTTGTTGTAAAACAGGAAAAACACAGCAGAAAATTTGTGTAACCTGTGAGATGACGTTCACATGTGATCAATATCTTAATCATAAGATTGGAATGTAACACTTCCAGGCACTTGACATTTTGATACAATTTACAATTTGATTCAGAGGTGGAGAAAGTCCTTATCTAATGGAACACAAAATGATTGTTGGTCTAAATTCTTCATGCATGAAATCCGCCAACAAGATATTTACACTTGAACAATTCAAGTATTGTGATTAATACACTGGTAATATGGCAGGAAGAAACCGCATATTTTTCATTGCAGTAACTACGTCATTTTTTTGTGCAAGTTATTTTCTGTTTCTCGTGAATCAAATCATCTGTCTAGATTTCCCCTTTCCCTGCCCAATGATTTTATTTCCTCCATTTTCTGAAGGTGTTAAGTCTCTGTTTGGCACGGTGCTACTGATGCCATGTACCCTCCACTATCTTGCCCAAGTGACTGTTATTCATATGTGATTCTTGGCATCAATTGTCAGCAGGCTATTGTTTTTAGCAGTACCTCCATAGACTGGAATAGACCAGCCGTCAAGCCATCACCTCCATCTCCAATGTACACTTTCAAGAAAGATCTTTGGGTTTGAAGAGTAAAGAATAGGAATCATAATCTAATATACACCATTTAATCCACAGGTTTGTACACCAGCAATAAGTGTTGTTACTTCCCCCCTGCTTGAGATCTGTTAACTTGACAGTTCAAAGATGAAACTTAGGAGCTCCTTGGCAGGAAATGGAGTAATACATCAGTTATTCATTTTTTTTTACAAGACTTATATCTACTTGTGCGCAAGTTCAGATACCTTCCCCCACCCCTTGTCAGATTGGGGTTCCCTGATTGCTCAATAGAAATGAGCAGCTGAATAGGACAAAAGGACACCTGGTCAGACTTGACTGGATATATTTTAATATGTATGTGAGGACCTGTTAACTTTGGGACATGAATTTAATTTTACCTGGTGACCTGAAGTGGGGAGCTACTATGGCTTCCCTGCCAGATGAACACAACAGGAAGAGGCACCCAAAGCAGAAAAACCTCAATCAATTGAGTTTTTAAAACATTCAATGTGGATTTAGGAAAAACAAATGCTGCAAATTCCTCTGTCCTGAATGCATGGCAGCCCTTCTATCAGCACGTGGCCTCTTCGCTGCACCAGTATAGTCTTGCCACCACCACAAACTATTCCGAATGAGTGTGAAATCATTTAGCGGGTTTTAACAAAGACCTGGGTGTTAAAATAGCCTTGACCTTGTGTCTGGAACAGCAAATAAGTTTCCAACTTGTCACTTCACCCTTCAGAGCTTTTATCTGACACCCAGATGCATTTTCAGTTAATCAATCTCAGTGGAGACCTCTATCTGAAGGGAGAAATATCAACCCAAGGTCACTCTTGTCCCAGTGCATAATGACTTTTTATATAAAATCTAGTCAAGAAACACAGAAGTCAAGCTCAGTTACAACTGGAACCGATGAAAGGTCTTAATCCAAAATGTGAATAAGTTGGTATTTTCCATTTTCAGATGTCACCAGAACCGTATCTTCACATTTTTTAGAATCATTTTAGAGTCCGAGATGTACAGCACAGAAACAGACCCTTCTGTCCAACTCGTTCATGTTGACCAGATTTCCTAAATAAATTTAGTCTCATTTGCCAGCATTTGTCCCATAACCTTTTTAAGCCCTTCATATTCATAAACCCATCCAAATGCCTTTTAAAAGTTGTAATTCTACCAGCCTCCACCGCTTCCTCTGGCAGTTCATTCCATACACGCACCACTCTGTGTGTGGAAAAAGTTGCCCCTTAGGTCCTTTTTAAATCTTCCTCCTGTCACCATAAACCTGTGCCCTCTAGTTTTGGACTCCCCCACCTCGAGGAAAAGACCTTGTCTATTTACCCTGTCCATGCTTCTCGTGATTTTAATAAACCTCTATAAGGGCATACCTCAGCCTCCGTGCTCCAGTGAAAATAGCCCCACCCTATTCAGCCTCCCCCATACAGCTCAAACCGTCCAACCCTGGCAGCATCCTTGTAAATCTTTTCTGAACCCTTTCAAGTTTCACAACATCCTCCCGATAGCAGGGAGACCAGAATTGCACGCAGTATTCCAAAAGTGGCCTAACCAATGTCCTGTACAGGCACAACATGACCTCCCAACTCCTATACTCAATGCACTGACCAGTAAAGGTAAGCGTACCAAATGCTGCCTTCACTATCCTATCGAGGAAATATAAACCTGAACTCCAAGGTCTTTTTGTTCAGCAGCACTCCCTACGACCTTACCATTAAGTGTATGCATTCTGCCCTGATTTGCCTTTCCAAAATGCAACACCTCACATTTATCTATATTAAACTCCATCTGCCACTCCTAGGCCCATTGGCTCATCTAATCAAGATCCCACTGTACTCTGAGGTAACCTGCTTCACTGTCCACTACACCTTCAAGTTTGGTGTAATCTGGAAACTTACTAACCATACGTCCTATGTTCACATCCAAGTCACTTATATAAATGACAAAAAGTAGTGGACCCTGCACCAATCCTTGTGGCACACTGCTGGTCACAGACCACCAGTTTGAAAAGCAACCCTCCACCACCGCCCTGTGTCTTCTACCCTCGAGTCAGTTCTGTATCCAAATGGCTAGTTCTCCTTGTATTCCATATGATCAAACCTTGCTAACCAGTCTACTGTGAGGAACCTTGTCGAACACCTTACTGAAGTGCATATAGATCATGTTCACTGCTCTGCCCTCATCAATCCTCTTTGTTACTTATTTAAAAAACTCAATTAGATTAGTGAGACATGATTTCCCAAGCACAAAGTGATGTTGACTATCCCTAACCAGTACTTGCCTTTCCAAATACAAGTAAGTCCTCTCCCTCAGGATTCTCTCCTTCAACTTGCTCACCACTGATGTCAGGCTGACTGGTCTATAGTTTCCTGGCTTTTCCTCACCTGGGGCTATCGATGATGCAGATATCTCGGTGAGGGGCCCAGCAATCACTTCCCTAGTTTCCCATAGAGCTCTAGGGTACATCTGATCAGGTCCCGCAGATTTATCCATCTTTGTGTTTTAAGCCGACCAGCACTACTACCTCTGTAATATGGACAATTTCAAGATACTATATTTCTATTTATTTCTCCACGTTCTATATCTTCCATATCCTCCTCCACAGTAAAATGCATTTATCTGTTCCCATTCCGCAAAGATTTTGTAACTCTACATTGTACTGCAGTCTGTGACCTATATGCTAAATCTGGTGTAATAGGACCTAGTGGGCCAGGGCAATGTCTAGTTATATGAAACTTAACATTGGCCATGGAGATTTTCCAGACTGTCTGTCTGGGATTAAAACTGCAGGTTATATTTTACATTGATGAGCTTGATCACTTGCTGATAGAACTATGCAACTACTGAGAAAGAACAGATGGTCGATATTTTGAAACAACATACTACTTGCTACTAAGTAATAGATAATCTTGAAGTATGTATAAAGAAGATAAATGTAGAGGATGTTGAGATGATCCAAGCCCTGGAGGCAAATGGCAAACCTGCTAGGGATTTGAAGACTCAGGAGGACATTTAGAAAGTCATTTGCTTTTCTCATTAAGAAATTTTTCTGTACTGATAAGCTAATGTATATGGGGACATGAGTGTATATCAGCCAAATATTTAAAAAGGGAAAATAAATCTGAACAAGGCAATTTCATGCCTATTAGAAGTTGGTGAGTGGGAGTACTCAGTATAGCATAACTTGATAAATAGTTTAGATTTGGAAAGAAGAATTCACTTTGGCAAACATTTTTGAGGTCTTTACAAATTAGGTAGATAATGGAACTTCGTACAATATTTTGGAATTCTAAAAAGTTTCTAAATAAATTCCCATTGAAAGACTAATTCTACAGCAAACAACTAGAATCCTCTGTAAAGAATGGAACTAAAAGAATGCAACTTTTTAAAAAAAGAGGTGATTAAATACTCACAAAATATAATATTGGATTGTGTGGGAAGTGTCAGTTCCTGAAGAAATCAATTAAAAGCACTATATGTATAATCTAAATTAATGACTTGGATACTGAAGCTAACATATTTGTCAAAGTTGCTGATACCACTTAAAGTGAAAAAGCAGTAGAGACTGAGGAGGTAGCAAAAGTTCTTGAAGCTTTGGACATGTTCGAGCATAAAAATGAGATTTAACTGGTAAATGCACAGTGCAGCTGTAGTGTGACCATGCTGGTTAAAAATGTATCATTCAATTCTCTTTTAAAACACTTTGAGGAAGGAAGACACTGAA